TTGGAAGGGCGGGTAAGATATTTGTCCTCACCGGTCACCACTCAGGCAATCACCAGTGATGGTTGCTGTCTGTGTCAGACAGTGTCACACATACGTATATAAAAAAAACACACACACAATCAGCACACTGAATCCCAAGAAGTACAACTTTAAATCGACAACAATTTATCTTACTGATGCTGCAGAGATATTTGTACACGAAAGCAAAGGACAGTAGCAGTAACTGGAAAACTGTGGCTCACAACTTGTTTGTTGTTGGAGTACTTCCTGTTCTGTTTTTCAGGTACACCGTACACGAGAAACCCGGCGCATCTGTAGCACAGGTCATTCGGTGCATAATTTGGTTGGTGCCTCCAGACTCAGAGCATAGCCAGCTGATTAAAAATGATTGGCCCTCACAACTAATCACATGATATGTAATCATGGCTCAAGGTTCTCTCTTGGATTATGTAATGATCAAACAGTGCCAGATTGCCATCCTTACAGATCTGATTACATTGATCAAATCACATCGTTATTTTTTTAGTTCTGACAGATATCTTATCTTATATAAATAGATTACTGTAGCAATGAACTCTACTTTGCTATGGAAGTAAGGCCCTGTTTAATCCCACCCAAAATCTAAAATTTTCCAAGATTCCCCGTCACATCGAATCTTGTGGCACATGCATGGAGTATTAAATATAGGTAAAAAGAATAACTAATTGTACAGTTTGCCCGTAATTGGCAAGACGAATCTTTTAAGCCTAAATAGTTCATAATTGGAATGATTTTTACCAAATCAAACGAAAATACTACCGTGTCTATTTTCCAAACTGGATCTAAACAGGCCCGAGTTTATTTCACAACAACAAGTAGCAGTACGGAGTACATAAATAAAAGCAGCTGCAGCAGGCAGCAGCAGCATGTGTGTTGGACTGTTGGGTTTGGGTGTGGCTGGCGCATCAGCGTCAAGGACGGATGGCCGCACGAGTCAGGCTCACCACCATCGCCATCCAAGCGAGCGACTATTTTGTTCGCTACCGGTTTTGCCCCTCTGGCGCTGGCGCCATACCTGCCATAAACAGCCGACACTTTATTTTTTCTGAATAATTAATTCTTGTCCAGTAGTACTCCCTCCGTCCGTCCCACGGAACACGTAATCCTGCTGTTCTTGTCTCAAAATTTATGTAATCCAGAGTTTAGGATATTTTTTTAGATGGACTCCACTAATAAAAAAACATTGCACCTTTGAAAAATCAATGCATCCCATGTTATACTTTAATGGAACATTCTAGATTGATGTTGAGTTCTGGTACACAAGAAGAAATACGTAGGAGGGGCACATGTGTAATTTCACATTTTCACTAAACTTGCGTTGAAAAATAAGATTTACATGTTTTGTGGGAGGGAGTAGTATTGTTTATTCATGCGTTTCTAGTTTGCTCTCTGAATTTTTTGCGAGACCCCGTTATAGAACTAGACGTTCACATACACGAGCGCATACTCACCTATGAACACACGCACGCACACTCCTACCTCTATGAACACCTCTGAATTGTTGCTCAAAATTTCAAGAGCTTCCAAAGTTAAGCCCACGAGCACCGATCTTACAACATCATTGAAAACCTAAGAATTTGTAATGTCATTGCGAGGAAGGATGTCATAATTAGGAGATTTTACTAAGAAAATCTCTAATTGTATGAGCTAGCACCGACTCTAAGCTTATAAATATAGAGAAGAGAAAGATACAAGCAAATAGTCTTAATCATCGTGTTTTGAGAAAGAAATACATCTTAAAATATGTGCGACTATCTCTTTGAGTGTATGCTAGTTATTGGCTCCACATTTCAAGGCCTTGTTTAGATTGTAAGTTTTTTCACTCTCTCTCCATCACATTAAATCTTTGGACACATGTATGGAGTATTAAATATAGATAAAAAAATAACTAATTACATAGTTTGATTGTAAATTACGAGACAGATCTTTTGAGCCTAGTTAGGCCATGATTGGACAATAATTGTCAAATACAAATGAAAGTGCTACAGTGCCAAATACTGATTCCTAACCCCAATCTAAACAATGCCCAAAGTATTGTATCTTAATTTTTTAGAGTTTAGAAAGACAATGAGATGCATAAAGCCTTGCCGTAGCAATCTAACCTAATTAAAGAGTGTCACAGGAGATAATTATCTCGTAACAACGCTTTGAGCAGCGGCGGCCCAAGCGCTACTGGACTCCATGCCGTGCCAGAAGCCCCTACCCGCACCTTCTTTTCGCGCGCATACCATTTGGCATTTCATGTTGACAACGAGCCGCGCACTTCTTACGCTTCCACGCGTATCATGTGTGCAACATCCGATCTATATTTGAAACATCTAGACGCAACACTTGCAACATACGTTTGAAGACAAATGAAACACTTGAAACATACGTCTGAAATAGTTGCAAAAACATTTGAAAACCATTGCAAATATCGCAACATCCAGATAAAACTTACAACATGTCGTAGAACATATGCAACATCCATTAAACACACTTGCAACATACGTCGAAAAAAGCAGATGAAACCTTGAGGACGGGGCGCTTGCAACATACGTGTACAACCATTACAATATAGGCAACAACACGATGTACTTTTGCAACATCCGTATAAAACACTTGCAACACACATCTAAAACATCTAAAAATTTTGAAATGTACACTTGCAACATGCATCATATCCCGGTGCGGTCTCCTTCGCTGTCTACATCGGGGCGCCGCAGCCGTAAAAGGAGGCGAGACCAAGGCTCGACGCTTCTTCTTCTTGTTGGTGGCGCTATCGGTGTTGTCGGTAGGCGAAGGATGGAAGCGTGGCAGGGAGGAGGCGAGGCGGCGGCGGAGTAGGAGCCAGTGGCGAGAACAATGCAGAAGGGCCAGACGGAGAAGGTCTATTGGGGTGGTCCATAGGCCTAGGAAGAGACCTCCGAATGGGACCGACGCCCTGCACATAGCACTTCCATTTGAGAAAAGGGTGGATGCCATCTTTCCGAGAATTTCTATACTCCTATCCAAATTTGATAATAGATATCATCTTTTTTTAGCTATAAAACCTTTGCTGGTGTCGTATCGTTCATATCTTGGCTTGACTGTGACATTCGGTCTAGTTTAGAATAAGGCCTATAGATGCCTATGTACATGTTATTGAGATATTGTAGAGAGTTTAGTCCCACCTACATATACGGGTTCTAGAATCCATCCCATCATTTTGAGTTAATCTTTTTATGCGAAGCAAGAACAAAAGCGTAAGTAAGCTAAGTGAGTTCATCTCCAATCAACTTCTCGTACCGGATTATTAATTAATCTCCAATTACACGGTAGAATTCATTATTATTATAGGTCTTGTAATTCACGGTAACTGTTTTTTAAGCTGAGTGAGTTCATCTCCAATCAACTTCTCGTACCGGATTATTCACATAATTCATTATAGGTCTTGTAATTTATTTGATATAACATATGTATGATTGGTAGTCCTTTCTTAACTTCACAACAAGGATACACAATAACTGTTTTTTAAGCTGAGTTTTCATATGACCGTACATATATAATGCATGAACATATTTAAGACTCATTCTATTCTAAATCGTAAGATGTTTTTGTTTTCTACGTACATTGTTTTTGTTATGTATTTGACATATAGTCTGTATCTAAGTGCATAACAAAAGCTATGAATCTAGAAAAGTCAAAACGTCTTATAATTTAGAATAGAACTAGTAATAATTAATATAATCAAAATAAATTACTTAGCTGCGTGGAGAGAATAATAAAAGGAGGCATGTCACATGGATTGTGCTGTGAATATACAATTATTTATGCTCCAACAAAATACCCATAAAACTGTGGAAGTAGAAAATTTCCCTGCTAAAAAATACTACTAGATATAGCAAAATTAATATACCACAAAAATCAAACCGAATCATAATTCGGAACGGAGTGAGTATATCTGAAGTCACTTGACAGACTTCTGCTTGAAAATATGGTTGGGGCTCAAGATGGCAGCAGATGCGTACCGATGAGTGCTTTGCCACCGCATACGCACCCGCCAGATCAAAATCTTACCGTCGGGTTACCGTACCCATGAGGCGAGTGTAGAAAATTCATTCCATACCGCATCTGAAGCGGGTAATTCTTACCGACGGGTAATTCTTACCCAAACAATATACCCGAGTTCACACACCAAAATATAATAGCTTCAATAAAACAAATCAACAATAGAGACAAAACAAAAATATGAAATTTGGTGGAGTGGAGTGAGGATGAGGATTAGGGTTTGAGGGAGTTACGGAATATATATACTCATATGCTTATATGGGCCAAATATGTGCTATATGCTTATATGGGCTAAAATTGCGAGAGGTTGGATATTATTTACGCGGTTTTTACCATGGTATCTTGGTATGGGTAGTATACACCCACACCCGTATCCCGCATACCCGATGGGTATAAGAATTCGTCCAATAATGTACTCCGTGGAGTGCAAAATGTCTTCCATACCGTCTCTTTATCGGGTAAAACCCGTCGGGTACTCGGGTTTCAGGTGCCCGTTGCCATCTTGAGTTGGGGCTGGTAGTGGTGGGGAAGAACGAGGCTGACATCCTGATTCCTGAAGCCACCGGAACCAAAACGAAACAGCACCAGGGGCGGCGATATAGCGAGGGAGCAGTTCACTTCCCCTCCTCTCTCCTCCCTCCTACGCCAGCTCCTCCCCGTCGCGTCGCCCCTCCTACCGTCCTACGTCTCCCTCCTGTCCCCGCTTCCGCTTCCTCCCCGTTGAGCGGAAGCGCGCAAGCAATCGCTGCCTTTTCTTGGCGTACGCAGCTCCTGGTAGGCAGCCCCCATGGGATCTCGCTTGCTGGCCTGGCCGCACGACATTGAGGCGAGGCGCCTGGAGCTCGGAGCCACCGCACTTGGTGTTGGTGACTTGGAGTCGGTCGGGTGTCTCGTTCCTGATTTGATCTGCAGCTGCGGCGGCGGCGGCCGACATGGCGGCATCGGGAGGGCTCGAGCAGTGGCAGAAGGACGGGTTCTTCCAGGCGGCCGAGGAGGTGCAGGAGTCGGCGGACTTGTGAGTGCCTTCGTCATCTTGGCTTCGATTCGTTGCGCCCGGGGCTACAAAAGTTTGAACTTTATATATGCAAAAAATGTCTACCGCTTGGCGATTGTTTTTGCCGTGAATTGTGACTGTCCTTGTCCTTTTTTTTGGAAGGTTGGGTTGCTGTTCCTTGACTGCTTTGTGGATTATTGATGTACTGTGTTTAAGATGGGATTCCGATCTGACCCGTGCTTGTTTGCGGTCCTTGCGGACTCAGAACTCTAGACTCTTGAATTTTCTACTAATTTTATTAGTGATTACTGGGCTAGGTTGTCGGTTGGGGTAAGATGAGATTTGGATGCTTCTTTGCGGCGCTCTGATTGGTGAACTGCTGGCTCTACCTATTTTGTCCGTTCTTTCCGTTCAGTTCAGATTGTGATGTCGTAAAACTGGTTCTTTGGTGGCATCTCATATCTTATTGGGTTGATTTATGTTTTTTTGTTTTGTATTGTATGGCTGGGGCAATTAATGCTCTATTCTAATCAAGTAGAATACAACTTTGCTTCAGTTGACAATTCTATTTGTTAATTTCGCCATGTAATGCTGCTTGGGTTGTGACAATTAATAAGAACTCATGTTGAAACAGACATTTACAATTGCAAATAGTCAAATGCATTCAGGAACATATATTCTAATGCAATTTTCCTCGAATTTGACAATTTCTCCATGCAGGATGGAATCTGTCTATAGAACTTGGATGCGTGAGCGATGTAATGGTTCTAGCTCAGAGGAGGTAGACAATTTGCAAAGGGAGCTTCAGACAGCTTTAGGGACTGCAAAATGGCAGGCATGCTTTTACATAAACCTTTATATACTAGTAGCTGACTTGTGGTCTTGTTAATTACTGCTAGTGATTGTCTGTGCAGTTGGAACAGTTTGAGAGGGCTGTAAGTTCAAGCAACGATAAGTATTCACTGGAAGAGGGTACAGTAGCAAAGGCGTCGGCAGTTTGTTGTAGCCATTGAGGATCAAATTTCTCGTGTAGAGAAAGACATAAACGGTTCTTTAATGGACAATGGCACGCAAGGGCTCAATTGGGTGAAGTTAGATGATGAGGAGCGAGATGATTTAGTCGCTTTCCTTTCAGCACCTGCAGACTTCTATTCAGAAATGAAGAGCACAGACAGCAGTAACCATGTCCCATCTAGACAAAAAAATGTGCGAGTTGGCATGAACGATCAGAGTGATCCAGCTTTAATCATTAAAGACATATATGAAGTGCCACGCAGAGAAATTTCTACTGTTAAGAGTGATGTTTGTGGTCTAGCTGAGGAGTTACATGGCCTTAGAAGAAATTTGAGTGTAGGTAATGATCATTGGAAGATTGACATTGGTAACGAGATGGTTGATGATAGAAAATCGTCCCCAAACGCAACTGGGGTTCAGGCTACAAGTCAGACTGCTTTATCAAGCATCCGGAGAAGCACAGAATCTTTAACAAGAGTGAGATGGTTTTGGAATAGCTTGTGGAAACCCAAGAGTGATGCAAATCGCTCATTAAGATATGATATGTCAAATAATCTTGACCTCAGGTTTCTATCCTTATTAACACAGGTATATCAATTTCCTCTGCTGCCCCACCCTATTCTAAATTTAAGATGTTTATATGTAATATGATCTTATCAAGAGCAACTTATTGGACATATGTGTGTGCAAACAATCCTTGGAGATGTTGACTCAATAGTGTAGCATCCCTAATGGCTGTATAATGAAATCAAACCTTCCTTTCTGTAATATGTAATGTATTTGAACCTACAAACTGTGAATCTGCATTCATGTCATATACCACTTACAGTATATAAACAATGATTGATGTTATGATATTTCTCAAGATCGTCATGGGAGGGAGAACTTCGATTTATTTTGGCAACTGTATGCCAATGCATATGAAATATTGCTACATCCTAAATCCTGAATGTTATTTGCTGGTTTACATTTTTATTGGGCTAAGCATGTGACATTGACTTTTATGCATAGCTAACATATTTTTATTTCTTTTACTGCATGATCCATTTTATAAATATGCTCCTTTTGACTGGTCCACAAAGTTAATGACATCCAATTAAGTTTGTTGGTGTTATCACTTTAGCTAATTTCTGAATCCAGTGGTTCTTTATGTTTTACAGAGATTTAATGGGCTAGCCGAAAGAAGCAGAAATTATTTGACAAGTTGGAAGGAAAATTCCAGAATTTCTGGACGGACAGGTGGGCTTCATATACAAGGCCAACAACAGAACATTCAATTTGGTCGTTCTATTCGGATCACCCTCTTACTGGTGTTGAGCATCTTTTTGATTGGTCAGTGCCAAACTTATCTAGCATGAATTTGTTTTTTTTATCATAAGTAGTTTATAGCATAACTTCTAGTATATCCATGCTTTTGGGGTGGCTTTGTTTTGCTATTTTCCTCTGTTTGGTACTCCCTCCATTTCAAATTATGAGACGTTTTGGCTTTTCTAGATACATAGCTTTTGATATGCGTCTAGATATACACTGTGTCTAGACTCTAGATAGATAGTAAGAGCAATGTGTTTAGAAAAACCAAAACGTCTTATAATTTAAAACGGAGGGAGTATCAATTAACATAGGCTCAAAAAAGCTACGATCATGTTGCACATATTGATATACAGTGTTATGGCGTATATTTGAAAATTTACATTCAGAAAATCTTGGCAAGTGCAACAAGTATAGGTTGAAATCAGTGTTCTGTTTTGTCAATACTAATAATCACATTATGTGTTTTGCAGTACCATTTCTCGTCTCAGCATGACAAGGCGTGCACTGTTTTACTGGTGAAGGAGCATTGGAACAATTTATCATGGTCCTGCTCATACATGTGTTATTCTCAAGTCGGCAAATGCAGCAAACCAACCATGTCATTTACATGTGTGGCTGCATGTATGGCAGGAAGAGAAGCACGATGGTGAAGGTTTCGATTGTCCAATGCATGATTCCATATCATAAACTCCTCAACGACGCATAACCGTGCTAAGATTTATCAGAGTTATGATCAATTTGTGATCTGTTGGGATGGCTGATTGCGGCCAAATGGAAGTGGCTCTGTATATCCCATGAATGCAATTGTAAAAAGTTGTAGAGCTGATAGGAAAAGGCGAAAAGCAAATATTTAAAAGATGAGTGAAATGATTTGTGGAAGTGCCGAGAATCTCAGTGAAATGAACTATGGAAGGATCTGAATACGGTTATTGATAATAATACATTAATATGGCATTTGTCAAACCGTTGGACGCACGTATGGTTCTCTGTCCACAGCTGTTTTATTGATCCAGGTTTCTACACTTGTCCTCGTTTTATGGCATGCTTGCCCTTGCCCTTGCCCATGAAGTAATCTTGGTTCGACACTTAGTTGATTTCCACCAATAGGCTCAACGGGCTATTGGGCCTTTGTCGCACAACACATATATAGAGGTGTGGGGAACTGGGCTCGGGTCACGAGGTTGAACGGAGCCGCCATCCCACTCACAGGAACCCTAAACCGATCTAAAGGTCGTGTTGTCGTGACGACGGATGTAATCCCACCACCGGCTGCCGCCCCACTGTGAGCAGGTCACCACCGGATCATCATCTCCACCAGTATGCTGGACTTCACCGCCACCTCATTTGGGCGTCTTCTACATCTGGACTTGGCGTCTACCCGTCTGCGGTGCATCTACCGAGGAGACAAGGAGAGGCTTACCGGATCTACGGTTACACAGAGGGACACATTTAATTCTAACAATGGTATCGGAGTCAGGTTGGCTCTGTGTAACCCTAACCCTAACCGGGTAAAAGCAAAGCGAAAAGGGACCGGGGTGGCGGACGTCACTGGAACCCCGGTCACCACCGCCACCATGAGGAAGAGATGTCGCACCGCCGTTCTCACCGGCATACGACAAAAATGAAAAAGATCCATGTTGGATCGAGAGAATAGAAAGGGAAAAGGATCTAAAGAAACCCTAACAAAAGATCCGTGTTGGATCGAGGGAGAATAGAAAGGGAAAAGGATCTCAAGAACCCTAACCCTAACCCGCTGTGAAAAAGCCTTCGGAGGAGAAGTCCGAAAAGAAAAGAGATCAAAGAAAAGAAAAATCCAAAGAAGAAAAAGAAGCGAGGGTCGGCACACGAACCCTAAACCCTAGATCCCGATTCGGATGAACTCCAAAGAGGAAAACCGAATCGGTCCAATCAAAAGAAAGAAAAGGAATCAAAGAAACCCTAACCCTAATCCCCACCTCCGGTTCGGAAAACAGAGATCAATCCAAATCGGAGAAAGAGAAAGGGAAAGGGGACAGGACAAACCTCACCGTGCGTCGGGATGGCCCTTCGCCGGTGTGGGAGAAGAAGGCCGAGCTGCTGGTGGCTGTTCGCCGCGGGCTCGGCCAAGGGGCGCGCCATGGCAAAGCCGCTCGGCAATGGCGTGCTCACCCGTCGGGGAGCACGCAGCGGCGTGCGTGAAAGGCGGCGACAGCGCCATGGCTGGTCGCTCCTCCGCCTTGCTCACTCTCGCTCGGTGTCCTCTCGGTGGGCTGGGTGCGTTGAGAGAAGAAGCGGCGGCGAGAGAGAGACCGAAAGAGAGGCAAAAGGATGCAAATGACTAGGGTTTGGGAAGTGCGGCGGGCGGGGGGGGTTGTTCTCCCTATCGGCCAGCGCCATCGTCCGTCAGATCGATCCAACGGCGCCAGATGCACGGCCGACTCATGACCCAGTGATGGTGTGGCAGCGTAGTGACTTTGCTGCGCCCGAGGCCAGAGTTGCGGCTTTGGAGTGCGGCTGCTTGTGTGGAGATATGGGCGAAGCCCTTCAGATCGATTCTAGCCCAACAATGAGGTTTTGAATCTGTTTTGTTTTTTCATTTACCAGTAAAGATTTTATTTCCTGAAAAATGAATAAATGGTTCAAAAGAAAAATAGAAAATGTAATTTTTCCCTGTGGGTAAAATTCAAGAAATTGAGTATACGTTTTCCGCTGCAAAAAAAAGTATATTCTCCAGTGATTTTGAATCAACGTGATATTTAACTGGAGAAAAGAAAAGTTTTTCCAGTAAATCTTTATTTCCTGGAAATTGATTAATGGATTAAATGAAATCGAAAATACAATTTTCCCTGTGGGTAAAATTCAAGGAAAAGAGAGTTTTTCCACAGCCAAAGAAAAGTTATCTATACTCCAGTTATTTTGAACCAATGTGGTATTTAATTGGAGAAAAAGAAAGTTTTTCCGCTGCTAAAGAAAATATTGATTCTCCAGCTATTTTGAACCAATGTGGTATTTAATTGGAGAAAAAAAAGATTTGACATGATTATGATGTTATTTTCTGACTAACGTTGTTAATAACAATATCATAATTTTAATGATTTATGCATTAATTCTATTTCTGCCCAACGGTGATGTAGAATTAGTGTATAAGAAAAGTTGATAATTTTAATGATTTATGCATTAATTCTACTTCTGCCCAACGGTGATGTAGAATTAGTGTATAAGAACAGTTGTAAAAGTTAATGATTTATGCATTAATTCTATTTCTGCCCAACGGTGATGTAGAATTAGTGTGTGAGAACAATTGTGAAAGTTAATGATTTATGCATTAATTTTATTTCTGCCCAACGGTGATGTAGAATTAGTGTATACGAACAGTTGTATATTTTGATTTTGACCAACGTTGGAATCAAGGCATGCAAATGGTGTTTATTTATATGATAAGAAAAGTTTTGACCTAATTTTCATCTTGTCTAAGATGGACTGGGTAGTCACCTCACCGTGTTCCACTGAGTTTGTGGTACCGGTGAGGGAGACAAAAGAGAATGATGCCATTTGGACAACTAAAGAAAGGGATTTTGAATCCCAAAAGATGTCCTATGGCTTTGGAGCATAGGAAGTGGGTCACTGCAAACAAGAAATGTTTGGCTGTGATAAAGAACATGATTGAACCTGTAATTGTGGGCTCAATTCCAGAGTGTGACACGGTCACCGAGTACCTCGATAGAATAAAGAGTCAGTTCACTGGCTCTTCAAAGACATATGCTACCCAGCTGATAAAACAGCTGGTGACAGAGTGTTACTCTGATAAAAGAATGGCATAAGAGAGCTTACGATGCGTCGTCGAAATTATGGCACTGTTGTTTAGGCCATATTTCGAGGGGGAGAATAGAAAGACAAGTTAAGAATGATATTCTTCCTCCATTAGAGCTCTCAGAATGCATAAAAGGAAAGTATATAAATAAAGATGACAAACGAAGCGCAGGAATTTTACAGATTATTCACACAGACATCTGTGGTCAGCTTTCCTGTAAAGAGTGTGGATGGTTATGATTCGTTCATGACATTCACTGATGATTATTCCCATTACGACTATATTTATCCAATCAAAGAAAGAAAAGATGTATTGGATAAATTTAAGATATTAAAGATTGAGATAGTCAGGTCTGACCGTGGGGGAGTACCACGGTCGGCATACCCTAAAAGAATGGCATAGTAGCCCAGTATTCTACACTGAGTGAACCTCAACAGAATAGAGTAGCTAAAATAATCAATCATACCCTGATGGATATGGTGGGTAGTATGATAAGTTACTCCACCTTACAGTTGAGCCTGTGGATGGAGACATTGAAAACGGCCATTCATATTCTCAATGAAGTATCAAGAAAGTCGGTGCCCAAAACACCGTATGAGTTGTGGACAGAAAGAGTACCCTCACTAAACCACTTGCGTGTGTGTGGGGGAGCCCTGCTGAGGCTAAAGTATTTAACCCAAACATTGGGAAGTTAGATTCCAAAAATAGTAAGTTGTCATTTCATTGGCTACATAGAAAAGTCAAAAGGTTTTCGTTTCTACTGTCCAGAGAGACATACAAAGTTTGTGGAAACGGGACATGCTATCTTCCTAGAGGATGAATTGATGAGGGGGAGCATGGTAGCTCGAGAAATTGACCTTGAAGTGAAGTGGGTGTATACGCCCACTCCAATGATTCATGAGATATTTTTCTCACTACCTGTTGTGCTGCACCGACAGTGCTAGATACTGTGGTGCCAGCACCTGTTCTTATCCCATCTGTGGCAACAATGAATGACGATGAGGAACCTGTTCTTCAGGATCCTATAGAACCTATTACCACAAATGAGGGGGAACAACAACAGCCTCAAACAGAAGATGTGCCAAATGTGGAGGCCCCTAGAAGGTCTCAAAGAGTTAGTAAATCAGTTATTCCTGCTGATTATGAAGTGTACAACACTAAAGAATTTTAAATAGAGGATGATACCACCTCATTTGAATAAGCCATGAAAAGTAATCATTCATCAAAGTAGCTTGAGGTCATGGAAGATGAAATAAA